TTTACATGGTCTCACATCATGTCTTTAGTTCTGAATTGTGGTGGATGTAGTGCAGTGCCACATGGACTATGGACTATCAAACAGTAGGGCTTTGGAGATGATACATGCTATCACTCACTGATTCTGATTATTTTAAAAACACTAAAATGCCTGTATTTTACGCAGGAAAACATTAAACAGCCACGACTCTTTTTTCTTGCAGGAAAATCTTACCTTAAATTCTTCAAGCCTTTTTGTATAGATTCATTAGGCTTATGTGGGAAAACATCTTAACTCTCTATCATCCTACTGCAATCTGTTGGAAATTACGTGCTTTTTCATGCCAAGGTTGTATGGGATAATGACTTGCCTTTGGACAAGGATAGAGTGAAGCTTCATAGGGGGACATGAGGCTGACACATCTTGGGGTGTTTGATCAATACTTGTGCAGATTTACAGTGCGTGTTCTGTGATGTTCTGGGTAGCAAAACTCCCCTTAGTCTCTGTAGCAAGCCAAGGGAATCCTTAGCGTCAGAACTGTAAAGATTTCTGCTGGAATTACCAAGTATATCTGAAGTGTAAAGATTCCACAGTCAACTGGAAGGAGTGTTTGAAAGGAGACTGCGACGTGTATTTTTTCAGGCTAGACATTGAATCATTGTGTGATGTCTGGCAAATTGCTTCAACACTTCCTGGCTCTGTTTCCCCACGGGAGATAGGGGGCTCTGCTTAGGAATGAAATTTGTAAAAAGGAGTACATAGTGGTTACGATAAGACAGCTCTCTGCAAAGGCTTGGATAATCATCTTGAGTGATGACATTAGTTTGAATTTGTTTTCCTAATTGAATGAAGGTTTGGCATACTTGGTTTCATGTTTCAGTTGTGCATACTGATCCTTGATAGACTTATACAGCTTTAGTCCTTTTTTTTTTTTTTTCTTTTTTTTTTTTTAAACTTGTAAACAGAATTCTTATTTTAATGAGAATGAAGATGTTTGTAATTTGAATCCAAATACCAGCACAGGGTTGCTAATTTTTAATGCAAGGTAAAAGTAACTTATAAAGCAGAAAATGCTTGCATTTTAAGTGTCTTTAATTTTGGTATGTTGTGTTCCTCCTGATATTACAATTAAATTTTATTTTAAAACAGAGTGCTAACTGCAGCTAAAAAGATCATTAAACTATCTAGATTAAGAAGGTCAGGAAATCCAGTCGGTTTTTTTGGTTGTTTTTTTTTTTTTGTACATAATTTGGGATCAGATGAAAAGTTGACCAGTTGTTGTCTTCCTCATTTAAAGAAACGTGCATTGATTAAATGAGACACGTGTTGTAAACTGTGATAAACAATACCTGCTCTGGGTATTCAGCTTTTCTGGATTTTGGATTCTGTATTTTCCAAAAGTGCCTGGATAATCATTATACACTGCAACAGTACGGGTGACCACTCTTCAGAGGAATGGACTAGCAATTCATCATTTGAGTGCTGATAACATGGAACAATGATGAGCTGTACTGTGTCTGTTGCAGGAGATATATAAAGACTCAGAAAATGCTAGTTTATCCTAGAAATGTCCTTTCAGCTGTGTGCCACATTCTTAAATAAAAAAGCTCTAGAACATACCTGAATAGGGCTTTTAGTAACCTGTAAGAAGAAGCCTTTCTTTTTCTTTCTTCTACTCTCTGACTCTCATTCTTTTTTCTTCCGCTGGATGGATCCCAGGGGCTATAAAATCTCCTCAGTTTGAGCTGTTCTTTCTTCGCTATCCTTTTTAGTTAATTTTCAATTCACTTGTGTACATTCCATGTCTCTGCTTGTTTTCCCAGGAGATTCTGTGATTCTGTGTGAGATGTCAGACAGTAACCTCTCATAGTTCAGGGGCTTTCTGAAAATGAATGTGGGGTAAATTAAGAAAAATGAGAACCAACTCACGCTAATTAATTCACAAATGCAGTATTATATACACTGTTTAAAGACTGGAAGCACCTCGTAATACCAGAGCTCTAAATTATTAATATTCACTCTACCCGGGTCCCTAATTAACTGGAATAAGTTTGACCAATTTTCCTCTCATTTCAGTGCTCACATATTAGACGCTAAAAGGTCATAGTGGGAACTAAAAAGCCACCTATAGATTTGATAGCACAAGCTCCTTAGCAGTTGAGTCAAATGCAATACCATCTGCTGATGTTATAGTAGTTATTTCCTGCTGCTTTGGTCAGACACTTTGTGCTGTAAAATGTGTTCAACGCAAAGAGGTACGGTTTTTAAAATGGGACTGTCAGTAAACACTTGTTTTACATCTTACTGTGATTCTCCCATTTTGGAGGCAAAAGTACATTATCTCTGACCGCTGTGCAGACTGAAGAAGTTAGGGATTGCTATAACCTGTTTTGCTGTGCTTGTGTTCCTAGAGGACTCACTGGAGAGAGACAAAAGGTTGTGTGCTCCCTAAGATCACGCTGTTCCTCCCCTCCACTCTTCTGGAGACTGAGCCAATGAAAAGACCTAATATGACAAGCAGAGGCTAACTGAGAGTTCTCCCACAGAGTGGGAGTCTACCAGCCTGGTCAGGCAACTGTGTGGTTTTAGACTACTTACATCTTACATCTGACACAGATGTGTCATCACACAGGAGAGAAGCTGATGTAAAATGCTTTCCCATAGGAAGTGCAGGTTTTTTAGACCATTTTTTCACAATGAGCATGAAGAAACAGATATAGTGACACATATTTATGACATAAGGAGTCTCCTAGCATTAAATTAAACGTTTTTATAGGTCTGCTAAGAAACCTCAGCAGTTGCTTCATGCATTTGTTGAGAACATTTCTTAAATTCCTAGGTTGCTTGCAGCTCTCTGCCTTCATTAGGAACATGCCATTGGAAGTAGAGGCACGGCTGTAAATTATGAGACAGGGTTATGAAAAATATTGTTTGTTTGAAAGGTGGATCTGGGATGGCATTCATGAAGGTGCTAAGGTAATAACATATTTACACTAAGCCATTTGAAAATTAGGATTTGCAGAAAAGGTGATGAGAGTATCCCCAGGGTACAAAAAGAGTTAATAGAAGTAATGCACTGTAAGTGGCTCTAATTCTCTAACCCACTGTTCCACCAAGCACCATGCGTTCAATGAATTAAAGGGAGAGGGTGCTGCACAAGAGCCAGTGTATGAAAGGCATAGCTAAAAATTAATGATTGGAGAATTTTTCTATAATCAAATGGAATTGGAATAGCAAAATCCAACCCACTCCAACCCCCCAAAAAAGGCACAAATCCCTGAGAGAAAACCCATTTTATCTCCTAAGTGCAGCTGAAGTATGCTTCAAAAAACAGGCATTTTGAAATTCAGAATGTTTGTATTTCAGAATTGGGATACAGTGTAGGATGGGAATCTGAAGCATGTCAGTGGTAGCATTTTCTGAGCATTGCATGAGAGCCAGAACTGCATTTTTCAATGGCTGGGAACCCAGAAGCTGTCTTAACACAGTGTCTTCACTGCAGCTACTACAGCTGGTCCTAGAACCACATTATCAAAATCTTCATGTGCATTATGTATTTTACAACTCTGGTTCAAATAAATTATGGAGAGCTGAGATGAAAAATGTACTAAGCAGTCCTTAAATGGCAATACTAGTTGGATGGAGCTAGCAGGTGACCTAGTTCCTCTCCATAACCTCTGGTGAACTCTGTGCTCTGCTATGTGTGTTTTCCAGTGCCTCTGCTGAGAGCTGGTCAGAAAGCACTGTCTCCCTTTGTGAGCCTCACAAGCTCCATATGCCAGGGCCTGAATCCTCATCCTGATTACAGCGAGGTCAAGGAGCTGAACCTACTTGATGTGCAAAGCTTCTGGAAAATACACAAGCTTTCACCTCTTTCTTAACCTGTGGTCCTGGCCCATGAGGTTCTTGTCATCAGTGTACGATTTTGGTGTGTTGGAAATGAGGCCCACCTAAATACAGAGGTGAGGCCTATGGAGGGGAAATCTCATGATGGCCTAGAGCTTCTTCACAAGGAGAGAGGTGGGGCAGCTCTTCACCAAGAAGGTGGTCATTAGTCGTAGCCTGCTGGTGTTCAAGAAAAATGTGAATATTCTATGATTCTGTGAAATCTGTGCTCGCGTTTAAATTTATTGCAAAGGATTTGCACCCTCATGGGTGTCTCCAGCTCCCTGCAAACACGCAGCTAGCAGGTCTTGATCTACACGCTACTTTTTCAGATCCTTTTGTCTGCTAGCTTAGGTCACTACCAGTCCCATTTTCTTAGACTGTTTGAGCCAGACTCAGCTTTTTGGTGCATTCATGCACAAAATCACAGTCTCTCAATAAAAATTCTGTATCTTCTTTTGTAATTTTGTGCTGCAAAGAAATTAAATGTCTTGGCACAGACTGTGACATGGCATGTTAATAAAAACAGCCAGTAGCTTGAAGTAATGGTACATAGGAAAGGTTCTGAGCTAGTATACTAGGTTATAGCAGGACAAAAAGAATTTGCAGACCCATGCATTCTTGTTACATATGCTTGGTTGTGGATTTTTTTTGTATGGATATGCCATGATATCTTCCTGAGTTGGTCACATTTCATGCAAATCAACACTTGACTATTTTTACATTGTATATTGTATCATAAATGTGTCTTTTAAAGCATGGGTACATTAGTCAATTGCCACCATCTCTTGATTCAGAAGACATTTGTAGGCAGGGTAGTAAGACAAAAATGTAGTTTTACAATGTGTTGTGAGGAAGAAGAATTTGCTTGGGAGTGGATTGTCATTAAGGACAACAGTTGTATCCTTATTGCTCTTTTCTCTGTAAATGATATAACTTCTTACCTGTCAGTTATTTTTTGTGCTGCAAAAGGAATGCCTTCTCAGCTTATTTCGAACAAACACAAGTTAGACTTTTATGCTCTTTTTTGTCTGTTTCCCCAGACCAGAATGCCATGTTATGAACCTTGGTATGTTAAATGTGGAGTTTGCAAAATAGTGGAATATACTAAAATATCTTTGTCTTTTCTTTTTCAGGATTATAAAGTTTTCAACGGTGCCTCCTTAAGAAGTGTGATGAGAAATGGCTTTGGGAAACAACACCCAGAGAAGTTACTCCATCATCCCCTGCTTCATCTTTATTGAGGTGAGTGCAGCGCTCAGTTATCTCAAAAAATCACTTTGCTGGCCAAATAGCTGAGGTGTAAGTCTGCAAGTGATTACTTGAGTTTTCTCAGTTTTCTTCAGGCTTGTATCTATTTTCAGGCAGCATCAAGACTAGGTATTGTTTAGAGACATGTCAGACCTAGTAGTCTAACAGTTCATAAGCTTAGCAAGCAACATTTAACTCTGTCTTTAGCTCAATTGCAACATAAAATGTAGGTGAGGAACAGCCAGCCTTTGAGTTTGAAGAAGGAGTTGGCTAACTCAAAGTTATGTGAATTGACAAAAAGTACAGTTACAGGAGTGGATATTTCTACATGTTTGTTAAGCTCAACTTTTTAAAATTGGCCCAGTTCTCTATATGACTGACTTTTCTGTGTTGTTTCTTACCTCAACACTGCCAGACAGACCAAAATCAATACTGAAACAAATGTTCAACTGGTGATTAAAAGGCTATAAGGGTTTTCTCAGTGAGGGTGTTGATCTATTTTGCAGGGAGGGTGAAAACTCATCTTAATTTTGATATAATTGCCGTGACTGCCTATCCATAGTGTCACCTCTCTAATGTAGCTTGAATGCAGCGCTTACTCTTTGGCCCAAGTTGTGAGATGTCTTATGCTTACTGACAAGAGAGGCACTAAAAACAGATAAAAGACTAATTGTAATGCTGGATATACAGGAAGACTTACCTCATTCCCCCTGCAATTTTGGAAAAGCTCCAATGTGCTGCTGCAGCAGGCAGAATGGGCACTGTAAATCAGTGCTGTTCACAACAGGCCTCACAGTGACATCCAGGATCTTTCTAACATTTACCCACTTGTGGTTGTCTTCTCACAGGATCTTCCCTAGCCAAGAGCTAAAGTTTCTTTATATGCACTCTCTACTTTCTGTGTTACCAGCTTAGCTCCACCAGCAGTAAGAAAATCCCTGGGTATTTAATCTAAAGCCAGTGGAAGTATTGTTTATGACCTGAAGGGGCAGTAGTCAATCCACCCTTACAGGAGTAATCTGTCAGGTTGGAAGGTGAAGATGGAGGAAAAGCGTAACAAAACCACTGCTGTAGCTCAGCATGTCTTCCCAGCTGCAGCTGGGGCAGATGCTGGTGTGGGAAGGTGGCTGTCACACACAATACAATGGATGGTTTTAAGGGACACTTGGATGAATGGGGAGGGGACAAGAGTTTACAATTCTAATCAGAGTTTTACTGTTTCATAAAAAAAGTCACTAACAATCCAGTTAGTTGCACAGGCTTTTCATTTACACCTGGGCAAACTCGTTGCATATCAAGTCAAAATCTTAGTGAACAGCATGTGATAAAGTCATTACCTGGACTCAGGCTTTATGAAGAAGAACCTGAGCCACTCACTTACTGTGGTGGAAGTATCCCTGGCCATGGCGGAGACACAAATGTTCCTGTCCAGCAGCATTTCTGTATTAAAATCTCACTTAGGCCTTCTAGCAGCCTAATTTTATGAACAGCGTGCTGTGTATTGTTATAGTTCCCTGTTCCAAAATGTGTCTCACCATCTCCTTTAAACCCAGCACATGGGTATTGCTAATGCTGATGTGCTTAATCATCTTGTCAGTTTGTGCTCCCCATATCCTCTTAGTGGCTCAGCACTTGGATCTTGTAGTTATGATAAGGGATATCCCTACACACTGGGGACAAAGAGAAGGAGAGAAGGGGGCAAGATTATACAGTAATAGCCTGCTTACGTACTGGAGGTATTTGCCTTATTGCTGATTATGCTAACCATGCTGAAAATGTCCAGGAGCTGAGGGTACCGCTCAAACCAACTGACCTTTCCAGTGACTTGCAGGGATTTGTCATTGACACAACGTCCAACTGCTGGGGAACCTCTGCATCCACTTCTTGAGGAGACTGAGAGTCTTCTTATCGAGAAACAAGCCACTATCTTATCCCATCACCTAGAGAAAGGAAGGGTAAAAGCAGAGAACAAACTACAGTAAGCTCAGAAGAAACATAATGAGCGCCACTAGGAATAGAATTTCTCAAAATATTACATGAAACGAGCTGCTCTGAGGGTTTTTAGTCCTTTAAATGTATGAATGATGAGCCTGGTTGGCAGTGTATGACAGAGCTATAAATTGTTCCTCCTGTAGACAAAACTGACATGAACACAAAAATAAATCATTTCTGTACTTTCCTTGTCCTTTTATATGTTTGCCTTCCTGATTAAAATATAATTTTAAATGAAAAATCAGGTACAATCAGAGAAGTAGTGTCTAAAAATGGTGTTCTCTCTTCCGCATTACACGAAAACACGTTTTTCCCTGTTTTGTTTTGTTTTGGTTTTGTTTTGTTTTGTTTTGTTTGTCCAAGGTGGAGATTTGTAATGTAGCACTGTTGGAACTACAGTGTCAGGCATTGTAGCATTAAAAAACAGGAAATCTAATCTTCTGTTGGGAATGCAGAGATGATTGATAGTAGCCATTCAATCTGAAAACCTTGTAAATCTAAAGACACGCTGAAAGCACTTTCCTTTTCGTACTACCACATTATGTGTATGAGACTAAGGGTAAGTTGATAAGCTGTATGATACTAGGCTGCCATTGCTAAAGGTGCATGGAGGACAGCAAAAAAACATTGCCTGATTTCCAGATAAAGTTTATCCACATGAAAACAGTCTGGTAGCTGACATGTTTGGTGCTCATGAGTAAGAAGGTAGGTGATCATCACATATTATTATTTCTAGGATGTTCCCGTGGATATCCTGCCTTCCTTACTATCTTCCATAGAATGTAGTGCTTTGATTCAAAATTTTGAGATATTTACTCTTAAGAAGTGGCATTATTTAAGTTTAGCTTGGTTGTTATGTCAGTTACTCTGATAGTAACTGAGAGTAGATATTGGGCAAGTGCCCAATATGCAGCATCCTTTTAAATAAGTGATGGTGGAAAGAAGGTGCCACAAGCAGCTTGCACATTTTAAATACAATTATGCTCTAGTCTGTATGAGACACAGTTTTAGTACTCATTCCAATTTCCATTTTTTTCCTTTTCATTTTCTTCACTCTCAGCTAACTTGAAGCAGTTAGTTTTTATAAAACCTGATCTGAAGATGAATAGCTCATTATAAGAACTTCCATGCTATGTCTGAGTCTACTAATTCCATTTTTTTAATACAAAATATGAACTTTTCTAATAACATAGAGATAGCATGTTATGTCTAATCTGTGATGATGGAAATGATAAATGAACATTTTTAGTCCCTAATTAGAAACACAGTGTCACATTAAGCATTTAAACACTGAATATGGATTCATTAAACTAATCTCTAGCCTCTTATCAGATCTGAGTGCTTCTCACAAACAATACAGCAGCTTTCCAGATGGTCCTTTATTGTATCATGGGAGATATTGTTGCAGTCTGGCATTTGTTACCAAAAGTTTATAATGATTTGTTATATCAGATTGTGTTAAGTGTGCAAACAGTTGATTAGGAAGTGCAAGAGTCATGTTCTTTCCTTCCCCGTCCCACCTTGGAGCATTTGCAGCCAGTGACAGTGGAGAGAGCCTTCAGGAAGCTCTTGTACAGCTGAAGGACAAGAAGGACCTCATCATGCAGGGGATCTAAGGAGGACTCTTGTGCCGTTGTACCTTCTCACTTAAGAGTTGTGTTTCTCCAATCACCACGTTCCTGCTGCACAGAGATACAAATAACTTCTTTGAAGTTCCAGAGGGAACGCCATAAAATTTACAGATTACAGGTCCTAGAAGAGTCCTAAAATAATTGCAGAAACTAAGGATGACTTGTTCCAGGTGAGGGGTAAGCACAAGGCACAGGACTGAGATCTAACAAATGCTTGGGTTGGTTTGATTTAGTTTTCAGCTTTTTCCCGATCACTTAAACAAAGAACAACAAAAAAGTGTTTAAGCATCAGAACTGAAATACAAATGCATGTTGACTTAATAAAACAAGACTGTGGATTAGATCATAGGATTCCCTGACAGTGGACAAATCTACTTTTTTACCTGAAGAGATTTCCTCACAGCAGATTTGCCCTTGCAGGGGACTTCACTTTCTTCCTCCCACTCACTGCTGGTTTCTTGGATGAGCTGCCAGCAGAGGGTTTCTTGATGGCTGGAGCTGTTGGTTTGGCTTTCTTAGCAGGAGTTTTCACCTTGGATGGAGGCTTTGCTTTCTCCCAGCAGGCTGCAAAGGTTTTTCTGGATTTGGGCTTGAATTATCTTCACTTCATTGGAGAGGCCCTGCTTCATGATTTTGGAGGAGGACTCTTCTTCATCCTTTCCTCTGATGGTGGTTCTTCCTCCTCAGACTCTTCGGATTGTTCTTCCTCCTCAGATTCCTCCTCCTCTTTCTCATTAGATTCTTCAAAGTCCTCATCCTGCTCCTTCTCTGGATAGAGCACGTCTGGGCTAGGATAATAAGGGAAGCAAAGCAGAAAGGTTCCACTGAAGTTCTTTCCAGTAATCTACTCCAACCAGCCATTCTTCTCACATCTCTGCAAGGTTCTCTTCTGCATTGTTCACATATTGCAAATTGCAGCAAGGTTGGAGTAGTTTTGTTTGTCACTCAACTGGTATGTGTCCCTGCTCTGAGAGGTGAACGGGACATTGAGGATCTGCTCCTTGAGGACAGATGCTGCCTGCTGCTGCAGACTGTTTAGAAGTGCAAAGGGCAGAATACCCTACTCAGGCGGCTTCAGTGGCAGACCCAGAGAGTGCAGCAAAGGCTTGGGAGCTCTTGGCTGTCTGTAGGCTCCAAATTTATCCCAGCAAGTGCAAATACTTCACAGCAGATCATTTGAGGACTTTTCGATGGTCAGAACTTACCTCTGAAGTGTTCTAATGAATTATAGACAAGTATGACAGAAAGCCAAATCACAATCAGGGGTTTGTTTTTCACTGTCCAATCTGCAGGGGGCAGGGGGTACCTCATCAGGACAATTGTGCCTACCGTCAGGTGTAAGCAGCACATCCATGAGCAGAGAAAAGGGGT